CCCCCCCCAACTACATTTTCACCAAATTTTTTTAGGATGCTTCTGCTTTATCGCGCTTCAAGCTTTCTGCATATAGCTCATGTTAGCAGCAAATGCATGGCTGCCCTCAAAATACACGATGCACTTAATGTTGTCCAAACTGAACGGCAAATTTGAAGGACTAGCAAAACGAACCCATTTTTCAGAAGAGGAAGCGGAGGCGGCAGCAGCTTTAGCGTTTGCTAAACCAACAAGATATGAGAGTGCGTCATTAGTTGATGACATCACTCACCTATAACACAGAGGAAATAGAAAACATGAACAAGGAAAAGAAATAAATTGTGTGAAAATGTGGTTAGGGGGCCACCCATTCAAAGGCTAGTATATCAAGAAATGAACTCAATGAAACGTGTTAAGACGTGTGATAACACGGATATGCCAGTTCTTAAATAAGGGCTTTCGTAGGGAAAGAGCACCGCGGTGGGCAAGTTCTCCTTCATTTTTTTCTTTCTTTTTTCGCATGAGGTAATTATCCCAGCCACCCAGGCGCTCCGACCCTACCTAGGCTTATTTGGCAAACTGAATTTCCTTGATTAAAACCGCATAAAAGAGCACAGATGGTCGGTTCCCATCATCCTCTTCGCAACCGAACAGCGCTAATATAACAAGGACTAACACCTTAGACTGAGTTCATTTCTTGTTAAACTGACCTTAGGATGGGTTTACAACGAGTCACTAAGTAAAGAGAGGCTCCTTTAGACAAAAGAATCAAACATAAGTGAGAAATAAGGAGAAGTTTTGAGCACATTAGCATAAACTTATTATTCATAGAATCACAACAACTGCAAAGTTCTAAAAACCTTTTGCTTCTGTGTCGTAGAATGAAACATGAAGTCCGAGACCGCAGTTCCGCACCTATCACATTTTATTTTACGGCACATTTTCGTTAGAGTGAAGTGCCCATGCGGGGATATAGGGTAAAGCCTTTCACATCAGTCGATCCTGTTTGAGGAATGCGCCTTCACTCGACTTATTAGGAATCGTAGTAACGTAATGAATGTGAACGTAATGTATAGGAAGTATGTAAGGTGAGCCATATGAATGTGACGGGGAGTAAAAGATCGGTTTCTGGGCATTTCGTTTTTTTCTTTCGCTATATTATGTGATTATTTGATTTACCGTATTTCCAGAACCTATTGTGGGTAGTTTTCCGAGATTCCCGGGACGCTCAAACTCCATCTGGAGCAGGGACATCGCGTCATAAAGCGATTCGAAGAGACTGGGAGATTGAAAATCGTCTTAAAGGAAGACCGGAAAGAATTTTCAGGACCTCTGACCTTCGAAAGGCCGTCAAAGACACACTGCGCCGAGATCCTGAAATAAACATGAGGAAATTGGCCAAGAAACATGTTGTGAGCAATTCAGCTATGACTAGTAGTGGAGGGCATCAGGTTATATCCTCAACGATTTGCAAAAGGGCAACGCCTCACCGAGGATTTGAAGGTTTTAAGACTACAAAAATGGGAGAAGATGAAAGCCCTATCATCTTCTTC